GTTCCTGAGAAAATTGCCATATACTAGGAAACTCATCAGTCCTCATGATGGAATGGAACTTGGGTAATGCACTTTCAAGAGCCTCTTTCCTAAACACAAATAGCAGTCAGTGTCTTTGCTGAAACAAAACTCAGTTTCAGCCTGGAGAACAAATCTTAAGACAAATTAACAGCAAAGTAAAATCTTTAAAAAAACCCAGAAAATCTGTCCAGTTGGCAGTAATGAAGAATTCAGCTTATTAGTTCCTCTCTGAAAGTATAAATCACTCTTGTACATTTGCATCCATCAGTAAGACTTCCCTCAGGAAAACAGAAAGCAGTGTTTATGTTTCCTAGCTGAGAATTGTTTTTTCATTTAAGTGAACAAATCATGGCTTGGATAGGTATAAGTACAGATATATATGCACATGTATATATTTTATATGTGTGTGTTTGGAACCTTTGAATTTAGTAAATGCAGTAACTGTTAGAGTAAGCTCTTACAGCAATATATAGTAGTCATAGCTCCCAGACACTAAAACAGAAGCAAACTGCAGTAAACACCAGCTTTTAATACTGGGACTCAAAGCTTCATTTATATCTGTCATCTGAACTTTATCTGGAAGTGATAGTCATTTATCCTGCAAATCTATTCCAGCAACATTTTCTGAAACACTTAAGATGCTTTATATTGCATTAACACATCACAAGTATCTCACCTGCTTCAGAAGATAAAAAAAAAGCTATTCCATTTATTAAAAAAGTCATCAGAGATCTGTTATTTCCAATTGTCTTTCTAGTACTACTGTTGGTCATTATATAATATCTATTATATATTGCCTATATATTCATAACTTTGAGACAGGTATAGTTTAAACAGAATCTTAAAATAAACTTTGACAAGATTTATTTAAGTATATAGTCTAGGATAATTTTAGAAAACTATATTTTGGAGTCTGACCTTTACTAATTGATAGAGTTCCATTACAACCTTTCCTGAAAGCAGAACCTGTGTAACTCAGAGTATTTTTATGGCTGCAAATCTTCTCTCAGAGAGTCAAACTTTTAACTCATTCTCCTGCCCATACCATTATTCTGCTCTTTCCTGCTTCACCCTGGTTACATCCTATGGCAGGAAGCTCTGATGAGTATTGCTCAGTGCAGTAAATCACTTCTACCTGTTCTCTCTCCTTGTGGTATCATGTATTATAGCATATGGGTGAGCTCCAGGCTTAAACAGTGATGCATGTGAATAGCAGAAGGATCTGGGCCATGACCTTAACAGATTAGCTGAGTTAAAGGCTCATGTCTGAAACCTCTGTGCTTCTGAGCATGCACAGAAATCTTGCATTTTTCAGAATGATAAAGACATTGAAAGTTGTTGGTCTTTAATCTCTTCCAATTGCCTGGTGCTGCCTATATCAATTATCTTCCTGAATTCCAAGCAGAATTTAGCACCTGTTTCCAAAATGACATAAAATGTAATTTCCATGTTACCCCCATCTCCAGTTTAGTTCTACCAATTTAAAATAATTCTCCCTTCTTTGTAGCATATGATATTTGCATTACAAAATAGAATTCTAAAGGAACAAATAGCATTCTTGCCCTAATATATTTAGGGCATTTTAGACACTAGACAGCTAGATATGTATGCCAGTAAAATTAATGTTATGATGTAATTTTTTACATTTCTTAATTCTGAACATTTTTTAAACTGTAATGTAAATCTCCGAGATAAGCAACATAAAGTATGTAATATCCTATGAAAGGTAGTGACTTGTCCTGAAGTAGTGATATCAATAGTTTTGGAAAGGTTAATGAACCGTTTCTAAAATATATTTTTGAAAGCTCTCTATATTCATTGCATATATTAGATCATCCTTTGGTATTTTAAAATTCAAGTAGATCCATTAAAAAAAAAATCACAGAACACATTTGAGTAAATTTCAAACTTATTAAAAAATCATAAGTTTAACATTTACTCACAAACCTTTTCATTTTAAGAAGTGTCAGCATGTCCACAATAATAACCCCTGCTGCTGGGGCACCCAGAAGGGCAAAAGCCAGCAGGGTAAATCAGTGCCACTATAGAATGGCTAAGTACACAAAAGCAGGGGAATTCAAAAAGATTAGAAGTCTACAAACAGGTGATGATAAGCAGAAGGTCAATTAAAGAAAAACTACCACAGCAAGAACAGAAATAATTAGTGCCACCACCTGGCAATATACAGGCATGTTCTGCAGGAAGAAATTGGTTTGCTTTGTCTGCCACACTGTAGAGTTCTCTGCTGCTATCAGGTAGCTCCAACTGTAGCAATGTTGCATCTACAGAACATGATTTCTGCAAATACAATAGGCTTTCCAGTATTCACTAGCTATTTGTTTCGGTGTTATTTAAGCAACTTTCTTCAACCACTTTCTCCTTCTTTCTCAAAATAAATCTGTCTTCCCCAGAAGCCTGTCTTGCAAAAAGAGAACAACAGCTGAGCTTCCTAGGTGCTTTCTGGGAAGGAGTCTTTATATGTAAGGACTGATGATGTCGGGATGAATGTGGGTTATACCTAAAGTGAAAAGCAAAGAATGATGTTAGCTACCATGTGTGAACAGGTATGGAACAGGCTCCCCAGGAAAGTGGTCAGAGCACCAAGCCTGACACAGTTCAAGAAGAATTTGAATGATACTCTCAGGCACATGGTGTGACTCTTGGGGATGGTCCTGTGCAGGGCAGGAATTGGACTCGATGGTCCTTGTGGGTACCTTCCAACTCAGCATATTCTGTGATTCTGTGAAATTCATGTGTCACAGGGCAGGAATGAGTAAGGAGAATGCTTGCCAGGTTTCTCCACAATCCACTCCCATGCACTTCCCTTCCCACCAAGGGAAATTCAGACTAACTTCAATTTTCTGTTAAAATTACTCTGAATTTCAACAAACTAATTCCAACAATTTCAACTGTTGAAATTTAGCTTTTCAGAGAGGAATAACTCTGGTTTGGACCAGGATGGTGCCAGGTCTCTGTGGACTGCATGGGGCTGGACACCGTCAGGCTCATCTGCAGCATTCTGAGGAAGCCAGGAGGTAAAAGGAACATGTTGCTTAGCATAGAGGATTGAGATGACCCAATATCCTTCCAGTATCCTTTTATATACAAGACTATTTCCACAGTTCTTCTATACAAATTATTGTGCCATTTTACTCACCTAATCAGTAAGATAAGCATAGTATTTGCAAGAAACAGTCCCAGACTGTAGTCAGTAAGTTCTGATTCAAATATAGTGATCTTTAATGTCTATATTATACCACATAAGCCATATTTGTATTCTAATTGACTATGAAGGGAAGTACTAGATTCAATACAAAATGCAATAAATCTTGTAATATAATTCTATAGATTATAACAGATAATATAGCATTCTATTAAACAAATTTAAAAAGGAACAAAGTCAATTTTCTTACAAGCTTTCTTTTTCCCGCCTATATCCCTCTCTCTGCTATATACACAGACTGGACAAAGCAGGTCTCATTAGTCCTTGTTTCTTGAAGGATATTGGTTCTTAAAGGAATAGTTATATAAACTATTCAATAGGAAAAACTGTAAAAAAAGAATAGTGTCATAAAGCCCAAAGATGTAGACAGCCAGCTCAGAGAAAGTATTATGGAGAACGAAAGAAAGTACAAAAGATGGTAACAGTCCTGATTTTAAAGTTATCCCTCTTTTATCTAGTAGTTTAAAAAACAGAGCTACATCTTGCATAGGATTTGTGATATCAAAGCTCTACTGCATATGCAAAATGGAGAACAATTTCCTAATCTAGTAATTTGAGGTGACAACTGAGATGGTTTATGACTTTTTCCCCATGATTATTATATTTCTAATACATAGATAGCCCTTGAAGTCAAGATTTTTGTCCACCTAAGTTAATACCTGAATTAAAGGCATGAAGTTGCTTCCTCACTTGCTTTCTACCTTCTGAATTTTTAGTTCTGCACAGAGACATAGTTTCACAGACAAGAGTATGTGCCCTCATTTTGAAGGAGATCATAGTTCTGACTAGGAAAAAATGTGCAGAAAGACAAGAGTCACTTCTTTCTTAGGCAAGGTTCTCCATTTTTTGCAGGGTTCTCTATTTTGTGCGGGATCTAGACCCACAACCATTTGTTAAATGCACTTAGAGAGCATATTCCAAATAAAATGGAACCTAAAGGGTATAGAGTTCAGGTCTCACGAGTCCTTAATTAATGATCTAGCCAGGTGCCACTAGCTTTCTAAGACACTGTTTAAACAAGCTCGTGAACATTAATCAAAAATATTTGTAAATTTTAGGGAAAAAACCCACAAGTAAAAAGGCTTATATAATGTTCTCTAGGGTGATATTCTATTCTGAAAGGCCTAATTACCTACAAAAGCAATTCACCTCTGTTTTATTTTGCTTTCTACTTTTCCATGTTCAAATCTATTATATTCCAGAACAGAATCATAATGTACCCCATTACCCCTGTGTAGCCTTTTATTTAAATCAGTGCATAACCAGTAGCAATGTGAATATGTAAAAATGAAATCAACTGGGGATTTTAAACTTATTCAAAAACAATGCTTTCCAGCATTGTTCACAATCTCTTGTATAGTAAATGTTGCAGGTCATCCAAATTTGTTACAAGATTAATAGAAATCCTGAAATCATAAGTAAAACACAGCCAGCACATCACCCTACTCTCTGTTCCTATATTTTTTTGCAGATTATCTTTCTTACTACACTATGTTTCAGCATTCAGTGGGTGACAACTCCCTCTAAATGTGCTGTCAAGCTTAATTGAACTACTCTGCAAAAAAAGCATCTTCCATAAAGAAAATGCTTCAAAAGCATAAAAGAAAGCACAATATCTGTCTCTCTAGGGTTTTTTCTATCTTTTTCTCTGTGACTATTGTTGTAATTATCTAAAATGGTCACCCTGTGTAAGGAAGAAAGAAAAATCAGCACAAACAGTTTCTTCCAATTTGAAAAGGCATAGAGGGCAGTTTACCTGCAATCGTCAACATTATTTCTTTCCACAGCATCAGAGAATCTGAAAGGTCCCGCATTATTGATTTCTATAACTTGTATACAGCCAGTGAAATTGTAGACAGGTCCAGAAATCTACAAAGGAAAAAATTCACACAGTTCTTTTGCTTGTTGCCATTGTGATCCATTTTAAAAATAAATAAGTTTCTACAGAAAGACTTGTAGCATAATTTCATCTACTCCTGAAAAACTCTTCTGATCCTCATTTTTTCTATAAAGAAATTCTACAAAAAAAAATTTAAATGTGAAAAGATATCCCAGCAAGATAAGCAGTACTGACTTAAAAATAAACCTAATAAACAAACTTAAAAAGAGAGTTTTGGACACACAGACAGCACAACAGGTATGGTGAAACACCAGCAGAAAGTGGATTTCTCTAACTTTAATCAGATATTTTTTATGGAGGAACACAGGTCACGGGGAATGGTAAATAGGGAAGCTTTGAAAATCTACTTGTAAGTTTACTACTTCCCTGCTCAGAAGATATCTAGTGCTATTAATCATGTTTCAAAGATGCCTAAGGACCTACTAAAAATGGGAATCACTTTAGGGGCACTGAAAACACACAGAACAGTAAATTGTTACACACTGCTAAGAACCCATTTCTAACTCTGAAGTCAGGTTTAGATATTTGCAGTAAGAAAAATATAAAGATCTTGAGCAACAATTTGCTAAAAGCATAATGGCAGGCATCAAATGCTTTTTAAAACCTAACAGGAGCAGTAAGCCTGCCAGAAAGGCTTTAGGGCTAACAGACCATCCAAGTATAAAGGGAATGTTCAAAGGGACATGGCTCTAGCAGGAAATGTAAATGAACTCACCAAATCAAAATTTAATGTAGAGTGGCTCGGGGAAGTTCCCATGGCAGAACCCCTTTTTAGTAGGGGTACATCAGAAATATGTCTCAAATTGAATTATTCCTGGAAAGTATTTTTAAAGAAAACTAAAAAGTTAACAGTAGCAAACAGTATTTGCCTGGGATTCCTATGGGAAATTACTGTGTCATCACTTAAAATGGCATCCAAACCATGGTAGATGGCATCCAATGGTAGATGTGGATTTTTTTTTTAGAGTTTTTTGCTTTAATTATTTATGAAAATGGGGGTAAGACCACGACATGCAAGGGCACACATCAAACTACATATCAGTAAGTCACAATTACATTCAAAAGAAACCTTTAAGAAATTAAGAATTACACTGAAGAACAGAATCAACAGATATATAAATGAACATAATGTATGGGGGAATAGTTGAGAAGGTTTCTGAAAAGGGAAATTGTAACTCACAGGAGGAACACTGAAAATGTGAAAAAGGATGTCTTGGTACATGGCTTTTGATTTTCAAAGGATTTTACCAAGCTTCTACGCTTAAAGATTCTAAAGTAACTCAGTCACCCTGGGATAACAAGGAAGCCCTTCGATAAATTAAGAGAATGGTTAAAACAGAAGAAGAAAAATTGTGAATAAATGGTGAGCTCAGTATGGAGAACCCTTAGAAATTCTCTCTACAAATCTGTAATAGGATCTATTCTCCTCAGTGTATACAAGTGGCTCAATATTTGCATTACTCAGGATAGCAAACCAAAAATCCTGAGAACAGCATTTCACAATATGCAAAAAAAGTCTCAATATGAAAAAACTTTGTTATATAGGAATGATGAGACATATGAGGGGTTCTGAACAGAGTGACTGTATAGACCAGGAACCTTTAGTCAGGAAAACTCTCCATCGAGGAGAGTTAGAACAGAGTAATGCACACATGAATAAAGAGTTTTCACAGTTTCTTACAATACAGGATCTAAAGGATAAGAAATTACATAAATCAGTGTGAAGATGAAAGCAAGGTACGGAGGTTTGTTTTTCATACAACTCAAAATGAAGTTGTGTAACTGTGCTATAGGATGTTGTCGGTGGTACAGGTCTAAATGAGGTCAAAACCCAGTCAAGTTAATGGGAAAGGAGAGCTCTCTCCCTCCCAGCAGAGAGTTAGCCTGCACAAGTACAACATGGCTGAAGCAAGGAAAATTGTTTTTCTCTGCACTGTTCAACCACTCTGAAACATAACATACCATGCCATACCATACACAATAAACAAAATGCACTGGCCTTCCAACTCATGGGAGAGATCAAAGAATTTCAAAAACAGTTCCCTGTTTATTTCTTTCACAGCAAAGGCCTACAGGAAGTATATTACTGCATTGCCGATGCCTGCTCAGCTGGTGCTAAGAAAAAACTCGGGAGCAGTTAATTGAGGGTGAGATAAGGAAAGGGTTTAATGTGCCAAGGCAATAGATGTTACACGACGCGTGCCCCTGTGCCCGAGATGGTACATTTTATAATACCATCTATCCAATCCCAAATGTGTCCACCCTGTGGCCTTTGCTGCGATCCGCCCCGGGTCCACCCCCTGAGAAATGGGTCTGGAGTGTATTTTGGGACCACCTCTTCATCAATCTTCATCTTCTTTGGGGCACAGAGTGCACATAGTCACCTAATTCTTGACTCCGTTTTGTTATTCAGGCCCTGATATGGCTGTTCTCTAAACAGTCTAGGCCTTGCCTTGACAAGAGACTAAACATTTCTACTGGATTCGGGAGCAGGAGTGATATACGGTACATGGAATGGGGTAGGAGGGTTAAGGAATGTGTAAACTAAGGGTGCAACAGGGAAAGGGATGTGAGGGTTGCTGCTTTTAGAGTCTACTTCTATTACTTATAAGACTTATAAGGCTTACAAAAATTAGAAAAATAAAAAAACTATTAGGGGCTTAAGGCATCACTGCAACATTGTGAAAAGTTATGCAACCAGTTAAGGTGGCGTTTAAAGTCAGTAAAGCTCAAGTGCAGCATAGGTAAGGTGGTCTCTGTGTGTAACAAACACAAAGGATTACAATGAGGCTCCCTGGAACTTAAGAAACAAAAATCTTATTCAAGAACTCAATGTGAACACTGTCCTCAAAGTTGCGCTTTGGATGTTAAGAGAACATTATTATTTGATATACTACAAGGGCTGACAGAGATTATTGATACAGATTACAGACAACAGAACACTCTTTTTCTTCCTCCTTTGCCAGCCACTTTGGCAGGAAATAAGTGTGATGGACTGCCAAGTGTTACACTCAGCAGTCTGCTTTTGCTGCCATTATCATAACAATTTATACCAGGTAATCTTTGAAAATGTGTTGTCCTACTGTTTCACATTTTTATTTTTATAAGACATCCTTGTTATTCTTTTTTCCCTGCCTTTTATAAGTAGTAAGAAAAACAATTTTCAAATTGACAGGATGCAGAATCTGTTGAAAATTTAATATGAACGCGGACAGAAATGGTTACAGGATTCTGAGCTGGAAATTACGTGGTACCCATAACATTGCCCCCCCAAAAACGAACAATTAAACAATGTTTTAATATTGGCTACATAAATCAGCTTGTTAGAGCTCTGCTCCTTCTTTTTTCCTGAGCCTGTTACAAGGTTTAACTAAAGGTTAGTTATGATTGTCCCAGTCATACTATGCATGTATTTCAAGAAAAGTCCTCATTCTTGGGATTGTAAAAATGAACAAACCAAAAAAGAAAGAAAGAAAGAAAAAAGAAACCAATAAACACAAAGGTCAGATACAATATAGTTTTATGAATCTCTGGTATAGGGAAAATTTACTATGTCAATCTATGATCCATTTTGCACACTGAAGGGCAGACTAGTCACTTGATTTGGAAATCAACATTCATTGGCATATTTTCCCATGCACTATAACACTGAATATTTTAACAACATGTTTTTCTTCTCCTCAGTACTGTTTGGTCTCTTAATAATTTTTCTTACATTGACATGTACATATTTTGAATATAATCCATTCCTCTAAAGTAATTTTTTGTTTTGTAATTATAACTGCATTATAAATATTTTGGTCAAAAAATTGCTTGCCTTTGGTCTGCTATGCTGTCTATACAAAAAAATAACATCTTCTGAGATATGTAGGAATAAGAGCTATCGGTATACATATTCAAAAGTAAGCAGCTTTTATTCTGCTGTTTTTGAGAGCAGATACTTGTTTGTGATTAGCAGATTAAAATGTAGGCATCACTTGTAGTTGGGTTCCCTTCCATTTACAAAAATACATTAATATGCTAACAAACTGTAATACTTAAATTGCCTGAAAATGTCAAGGCCAGAGCAACACCAGAAATTTAGTTTAATAAAATTCACTATTCAGAATCTATTGAGATATGTTTGACATATAGTAACTATGCTCTTCAAATGCCCTTTATACTTGACAAAAATGAGTACAGATACTTACCTTGTAGGAAAAGTTCACACATATATGCCAAACCATTTATTAATATCCTTTACTGACTAGCCCAAATTAGAGTTGCTGTTAGGGAGAATTAACCTAGAATTGAGTTCCTAATGAAATGAACTTGCATGCTGTCATTTCTCTACAGATTCATAAACAATATAATGAGGTTTTGGCTTATGTCCTGAGCATTTATTTTAAAAAAATACGATTAACTGGAAAGAAAACAAAGTATAGCACAATCTTTTGTCATTGTCTGCACTCAAGATAAATTTTATGTATCTTAAAAATTCTCACTATATATATTACAGTGTACCATAACACACTATATAGTAGTCTTTCACATCTTTGGGATTCCTGAAATATATCCAATTTTGGAGTCTGATTAGTAGAACTCTCTGCAAAACAATTGCAAACTTCTCAAATTGCAATATTTCAAACTTAAATCCTACAGGACATTATTCTGCCTTAGTATTCCATTTACAGAGCACTGAAACTTGCCTGGATTCGAGGTGACATGTTATAGGTAGGATATCTATTGTTTCCAGACTCTTCAAGCCAAAAGGTTTTCAAGGATTTATTAAAAATCAATGTTAGTGACTCAGACATCACCTTGACCAAAAAATGTTAACACTTTTTTCTTGCTGACTTAAAATTTTTAAACATTAATTAATAAAAGTTAAACCTTATTCATTTTAACTCTGGTAGTTTAAACAAAATAGACAAAATTTACTCTGGTCAATTTGTATAGCTACTAATGAGAGAGAAATGCACCTCCCTTT